CCGGGCTGCGGGAGGTGGTCCGCCGGGCCGGCCCAGGGCTGCGGGGCTTCCCGAGCCCGGCTTCCGGGTGGCCTCGCTCCGAAGGAGGGTTTTCACAAGAGCCGCGATGGGTCCTCGGCAGTGGCGTGCGGGGCGTCCAGGCAAGTGCTGTCACACTTGGGGAAAAGAGCGCTGCTTTCCCAACTCGCAGCGCTGCCTGCAATAGAAGAATGTGTGCAGCCGGGGAAGGCAGGATTTGTGGTTGCTAAGCAGGAGCGGAGCATGTTTAGCTCTGTAACTTAGGATGTTGACTTAGTTCAGGAATGCAACCCTGACAGAGTCGGCCGAGTCCTTCCATTGTGCTGCTCACCTGGGGGAGGGGGCTGCTGGCCTGGCCAAGCCCAGCTCTGGGTTTCCTCTTAACTCCTGCCTATTGCACTGTTACTTTATTGACCTTGAATCCAAAGAGATGTCTCAAGAGGAGGTTTTTTTAAAAAAGACCTCCCCTTGCCTGTTTTCTGTTCTCTTCTGCCAAAAAAGCAAACACTTCATTTCATGGATTTTGTCTGCAGCATTTGAATAGTTCTATTCATAAATCAGGAAACTTTCTCTGTTGCTTCTAGGAACATTTTAACTCAGTTTCAATCCCACTATCAAACATAAATGAACAATTTTAACTTCTGAGCCTGCGATGCTCTGGGCAAACGACCCTATTTTGTGGTTATTGCTGAACTATTCACTTCCCACCACACTGGCCTCATTCTTTTCAGAAATGTCCCACTAACCACCTCACGCCAGAGCTTTGGGCCTGGAGATCCTGACAGACAACCTGAAGGATGGACATCTACTCATTCAAGTGGACAGTGCAGGCTGAGCGGTCACCCTCAGGAAGCCAGCAGGTGGCCAGCAGGGGGCTTAGCTCCTGCTCTCCATGTCCCCATCTATACCTGTGCTTTAAAAAAAGAGGGGAGAGAGCTCAAGAGCCAATTTTAAGGCTCAAGAACCAAGTCTATTGGGTTTAGCAAAAGCTGGCATCAGGGGTGACGTGATACAGGGAACAAGACCGTCGCCATTTCCCGAGTGCTGTCTCAAGACCTCGGCCTTGAAGGACGTTTTGTTAGGAAGCCTGGAGTGACTCCTGCTGGTATACAGACAGTGCCTCCCTGCAGTTACCAGCTCATCAAGTGAACTCAAACCTAGGACGCAGGCCTCGACTGCGGCCACTGCTGGGTTCAGGTGGATTTTCGTCTCACAACACTCCAGAGCTGTGGTTCTGGCTCCTTTGCTGTGGCGCCTCCTTTCCAAGCTGAAGCAGCCTGTTTTTCTGGTTCTGAACTTTTTCCTGAGAGCATACCAGAACTAAGAGACCTGCTTCAGGGGTGTGCTAGCAATGAGCAGCTTTTCTCATTTTCTAAATTTGAGGCAAACACATGTACACAAACGCACCAAAAGTCCCACAGTCCAGGCCCTCGCCACATTCTAGAACAAGCCCTAAAGGTACATCAGAGCACCTCAACTGTCCATGCTACATTTCAGAGTTCTCTAGTATACAAATCCTACCCAAAGTCTATTAGATTACTGCTCAGCTTGGAAGAGTAAGTAGAAACTTAGTCAAACTCTGACTTTAAAACAATGGGAGCAACTGGGGAGATGAGTGGCCTACCTCTGTCCCGTCCTCAAGTCAAGATGAAATCAGAAACAGATTTCAAGTACAACCAGATAGCTAAACACAAGTTCATAGGCCAATTTAGGAATAAATCCATAAATAATCAAAAGCATTCCCTTGTAACTTTTACATCATCCACGAAACCACACAACATTCTGGGAAACAGAAAATGCGGGCCTCACTACAGTGCCTACTCCCAGCCCTGTAAAAAGCACGAGGCTGAAACACAGCATTAATGTCTTCCCAGCTCCCCTAAAGCAGGACTCCCAGGTGGAAGGTACTCATGTGCACAGCAGGCATCATATACCCACTGAAAACAGCTTGGGTGGTTTGCAGGGAGGTTTCTTCAGGATGGGAGAGTTCCTGTTCCAGGTTTAAAGATCTTAAGCAACCAGAGACAATGAGAGTGCATTTTATTAAGAATGGGTGTAACCAACTATAACTTGTATCAACAAGCTAATAAAAAACGTTCATCTAAGCACATTTGTGCAGAGGAGGGTAAAGGTTGGATCTGAGACACACCAACAAGTGTCCTGGGTAGTTAGCTGGTGAGTGTTTTGTTTTTATCTTTTAAAGCTGATAAATGTGATGTTCAAGAATCTCAACTTTGATGTCTAAACTGAAGAACAAAAATGCTGTTCACTTCTCCCCCTCAAATCTATTTGCACCTATGGTTATACAATGAACTCACCACTAAAAAAACATAAACTGACTTAAAAGAGCAGCATCCAATTATTTTCAGGCCAGCAAAGTGAGGTAAACAAACGCCAAACTTGTCCACTGGACCCAAAAGCACCATGTAGAGAGGCCTGTGCAGTAACCCCTTTATTCAGCTCCCAGAAACCACTGCCTCTTTGTCACGACTGCAGTATTAAAAGGCAGTCATTCACATTTCACACTATCCTTTCTACATGTGAAAAGATCGTGTTTCTAAAAGCAGACCTTTTAAAATGGCTTATAATAATAGATTGTGGGAAGAAAGACGTGACCAAAGCTACCTGATGTATTTTCACAAAAAAACCAAACCCCAAACAAACCAGCAATTGAAGACACTGAAGTAAAACACACTTCGTTGGAAAAGGTTTTGGTTACAGATAGAAGTAAAAAAAAGTCAAGTGATCATAAGGCAATTCTCTTAGGTAGTCTAAATCAAACATCTACGGTCCAGCTACCACTAACAGCATGTAAAAGCACACTAACCCTTCTGTTCCTTCTTTCCTGTTCTTGCCATCTTGTGCTTGAAAATCTTCCCACTGATGAAAATGAGTTATTCAACTGGTATGCTGAGCAAATCATCTAAGAAACTGGACTGTATGAAGAGGAATGTGGCATGAGAACTAGAAGATGATGGATTAGCAATCTGTGATACACAAATTACACAACCATGCTTATTGAATCCAAAGAGAATTTGAAGCACTTACTGATAAGGGCCAAAGAGGTGTTTTGGGTTTGTTGTTTTGTTTTGTTTTTTTTTAATCATAGCTTTCAGCATGAATTATCTCAATATAAACTAAAACTCTAATCACCAAACCAATAAGCAGTATCTTAATAAATGGAGAACAGATGGAAACTGTGAGGGATTCGTCTTCCACGGCGCACCACCACAGATTTATGGAAGCCGCAGTCACGTCAACAATACATGGCACTGGGCAAACCTGCTGCAAAGCTCCTTAAAATGCTTCAGGCAAAGATCACTGAAGACTCAAGCTCAATGGCCACAAGCCATGGCATTTTCAATGACCTCACAGGCATGCAAAAACCAGACAATGAAGGAGGAAGAATGAAGCCCGGATGCCTGTGAATTATGAGGTTGCTAAGTGTACCATGAACTTCCAAAAGAACAAACACATCTGTTCTGGAAGAAGTACGTCTAGAAGTGAGGACAGCAAGACTTCATGTCAGACAGCTGGACTCGGCATCAAGAGGGGACCATTCCCTGGAAGAGCATCTCATGCTGGTTAAGTCGAGGGTAAGAGAGAGAAGACCTTACTGAGCTGGGATGGCACTGCAGCTGCAACCATGGATCAGACACAGCGGCCACTGGGAGGGTGGCCCAGGACCACGCAAGGTTGTACACAAGGTCACTTTGCTTTGAGTAGGAACCCAGTGGATGACCCTGAACAACAACAATCCTTCTGCTCCTTCCTTCTGTTCTTTTTATGCTGGGCCTGAAATCTTTCAACAGGTAATAATGACTTATAACTCTAGCTGGAATCATATTTATACTTACATACATATTGAATATACCAAACATATTTAGTAATGCATATAAATACATTTTTAAAGAGGCATTTTAGTTCCTAAAGACAGAAGCACTAAATGAATCTTTTTTTAATAAAATTTTTATTTTAATTGTGATTTTAATGAATGTTTACAGAGAAGATTTTCATTAATTCATTGTCACACTAAACAGAATTACTTTTCATTGAAAAATAATCATAGCAGTGAATTTAATGATAGTACTCTCATTTCTTTGATAGGAAATGAAGGTTGAAAGCAGCTTGCAGGGGCCTGAGGACTGAAATGAGCACATGTAAATTTGCACAGCTTTGTAAGCGTGTGTCTAGCACCACTGAGGTACGAAAGCGTGCCAGCTGGGATGGCTTGGGCGCCACAAAGTGTGGGTTGTAGCCCAAGTACTGAGGACAAACCCTGGTTTCCAAGTTGGCAGGTGCTGAAAACATCGCAAATGTCATGCTTGCACTCTGGGCAAAGCAAGCTAAAATGGACAGAGCAACAGTGAAAACCTTCCCGCCACACTACCTGACCTGTTTGCAAAGTTAACAGTAGCCATTAACGCTATGTTCTACAAGAAACAGGCTGGCATAAAAAACAGACCTCAAAGTGCATGTATGGGGAGAAGCAAAAAAATACTTAAAATGAATGTTTTCCTTACTCCATCTACAGTTAGTTTCTGGTATAAGTAAAACTTACCAAACCTCTATTTACTCTCCTAAGATTCCTGATTCAATGCTGGCCTTTCCTTGATCTCCCAGACCTCAGACGAGGTAGACGCTGTGTAAGGTCACTCTCATGTGGTTAGGCACCTGCACCTGGCTTGCTTCAGTTAACCCATCAAGAACACAGCTGAAAACAAGTAACACGATTTTCATTTTGCTCCACAATGAACTGCACCTATAAAATAGCTTAACTGCACACCTAGTCTACACATTTGCTTTTTAACAACAGAGCAAGTGGAGACTCTAAGGAGATAGGTTTCTACATGCTATTCCAATATTCTTCCCTCAATATACTTAAGTGGATTTCAGGTTTAGCACGGGAGACACAAGTCAAAATTTAACTTCTTCTCCTCTGTCAATTATCGGGAATTTCTGCTACTGTCTCTAATTCATAACAAGTGATAGGTTTAAAACTACTGCTATCCTATCTAGGCTCTAAATGTGAAAATAATCTTCATTTTCAGTAGGTAGAAAGAAGCTAGACCTTGATACAGTTTGTGACTTGACAGAAATTTTAACACCCAATCTAAAGACTGAACCGTTTGGACTTTAAGTATCAAGGGGGAAAAGGCAAAAAATCGCTTCCAAAAT